ATTATTTCAATTATTTCAAGGCATTTGCGAGTGAGACACAATAGGCTGGTAGGGACATAAAGCCCTCAGCATTTAAACAACATTTAGTTGTATTAATTCATAATATTCTATAAATTGTGCATATAGGCTGTGACTTACTTAGAATGAAATACAAATTAAACGAAAAACGACTTATTGGTGCCTTTGAATTCATTTTTAGAATTCATTTTTAGAATTCGTTTTTAGAATTCATTTTTAGAAACACGAGTTTGGCCAGTCTGTGGCTTCAGGCTCATGCGATGGTGCCTGGAGAGATGGCCAACAGCGGAGAATATCCTCCTTACACTTACAGAGCCACCCTTTTGGCCACTCTTGCCAGGCTGGGCAGAGATGCAGAGTTTTTATATACAGTGGGGGAAAAAAGTATTTAGTCAGCCACCAATTGTGCAAGTTCTCCCACTTAAAAAGATGAGAGAGGCCTGTAATTTTCATCATAGGTACACGTCAACTATGACAGACAAAATGAGAAAAAAAATTCCAGAAAATCACATTGTAGGATTTTTTATGAATTTATTGGCATATGATGGTGGAAAATAAGTATTTGGTCAATAACAAAAGTTTCTCAATACTTTGCTATATACCCTTTGTTGGCAATGACACAGGTCAAACGTTTTCTGTAAGTCTTCACAAGGTTTTCACACACTGTTGCTGGTATTTTGGCCCATTCCTCCATGCAGATCTCCTCTAGAGCAGTGATGTTTTGGGGCTGTCGCTGGGCAACACGGACTTTCAACTCCCTCCAAAGATTTTCTATGGGGTTGAGATCTGGAGACTGGCTAGGCCACTCCAGGACCTTGAAATGCTTCTTACGAAGCCACTCCTTCGTTGCCCGGGCGGTGTGTTTGGGATCATTGTCATGCTGAAAGACCCAGCCACGTTTCATCTTCAATGCCCTTGCTGATGGAAGGAGGGTTTCACTCAAAATCTCACGATACATGGCCCCATTCATTCTTTCCTTTACACGGATCAGTCGTCCTGGTCCCTTTGCAGAAAAACAGCCCCAAAGCATGATGTTTCCAACCCCATGCTTCACAGTAGGTATGGTGTTCTTTGGATGCAACTCAGCATTCTTTGTCCTCCAAACATGACGAGTTGAGTTTTTACCAAAAAGTGATATTTTGGTTTCATCTGACCATATGACATTCTCCCAATCCTCTTCTGGATCATCCAAATGCACTTCAGACGGGCCTGGACATGTACTGACTTAAGCAGGGGGACACGTCTCGCACTGCAGGATTTGAGTCCCTGGCGGCGTAGTGTGTTACTGATGGTAGGCTTTGTTACTTTGGTCCCAGCTCTCTGCAGGTCATTCACTAGGTCCCCCCGTGTGGTTCTGGGATTTTTGCTCACCGTTCTTGTGATCATTTTGACCCCACGGGGTGAGATCTTGCGTGGAGCCCCAGATCAAGGGAGATTATCAGTGGTCTTGTATGTCTTCCATTTCCTAATAATTGCTCCCACAGTTGATTTCTTCAAACCAAGCTGCTTACCTATTGCAGATTCAGTCTTCCCAGCCTGGTGCAGGTCTACAATTTTGTTTTTGGTGTCCTTTGACAGCTCTTTGGTCTTGGCCATTGTGGAGTTTGGAGTGTGACTGTTTGAGGTTGTGGACAGGTGTCTTTTATACTGATAACAAGTTCAAACAAGTGCCATTAATACAGGTAACGAGTGGAGGACAGAGGAGCCTCTTAAAGAAGAAGTTACAGGTCTGTGAGAGCCAGAAATCTTGCTTGTTTGTAGGTGACCAAATACTTATTTTCCACCATAATTTGCAAATAAATTCATTAAAAATCCTACAATGTGATTTTCTGGAAAAAAAATTCTCAATTTGTCTGTCATAGTTGACGTGTACCTATGATGAAAATTACAGGCCTCTCTCATCTTTTTAAGAGGGAGAACTTGCACAATTGGTGGCTGACTAAATACTTTTTTCCCCCACTGTATATATATATATATATATATATATATATATATATATATATATATATATATATATATAGGCAGGCCTAAAGGTTTTGAGGCAAAATAACCCAATCAAAACAGAAAGCTCCTTGAATGTGGGAATGTGCCAGGCCTATTAGGGAAAAATCAATTATGGCCTATTTTATAGATAATAGAATGAAAATGAGCAATACATTTAAGAGATCTGATTTTTTGTTTAAATACTTTGCTACAATGACACACTTAGTTATCTACCCACCTCGTTCCTTTCTTTTAGCATGTGTACGTAGCATGCTTTTGGGATACGTGTCTTTTATGATTCTTTAGTTGTGGACACTACATCACCACACTCCCTCTCTTGCTCTTGGTCCTCATCTTTGTAAGTCACCTTGATTTAGCACCTGTGTGTTTTATCAGTTTCTTTATGAAAATATTTAGCGAACTCCATGACAGTACCTAAAGCAAGGGGCTATAGCAGCACACAAGTAGACTACAAATGCATGCCCTGAGCTCGTGAAGTGAGCGCTACTGGAGCGAAATTGCCATGCTCCAGTCAAATTGGGCATGCACCGGTCGTCGCTTCGCTCCAGTTCCACTCCGCTCACGTACTCTGATTCTGACACAGAACGGAAGTACAAGGAAAACAGGATTTTAGATACGGAGAAGAGTATGCATGTGCTGAGGATGTATGCTGTGATGGAGTGCTAAGCTTGCCGAGTAAACTTACCCTTAATTATACCCATTGTGTCCTCATTTTACAGAGCCTACTACACGACAGTTCACCTGCTGCCTAATCATGCAAGACACAGCTAGCTAATATTCATAGATAATGATGCGTAGTCTAATGCATTCCTGAAAATAGCATGGAGACCACGTTTTGAATGTTAGAAATGTTTATCCACACCCTGCATGAAAAACACCCTCTCTACTCCCACAGGCTGTAGTGATGTTGTCCGGCACACAATCTAGCTACCTCTCTAGAGATAAATAGACCTCTGGCTGTATGTCAAGGGTGTGTCCAAAATGGAACCCTATCCTTCAAACTCAACTTTAGACCTCGAAGCCAGTTCCACTGCATTTTTTCATTGTTCCCCTCTAATCAGACTGATTTAGACCTGGGACACCAGGTGTGTGCAATTCATTATCAGGTAGAACAGAAAACCAGCAGGCTCCGGACCTAGTAAAGTAAGAGTTGAATACCCCTGCCCTATAAAGTGCACAAAAAATGTAGTGCACTACATAGGGAATAGGGTGCCATTTGGGACAAAGCCCAAATAACTTTGCTTCTATATTTATTACTTACTTACAACTTAGAACATGATGTTGAGATCCTGTAACCCCATTATGTCTTCCAACAATAAGACAGTAATGTCAAGGTTTTGATCAGATAGATGGTAAATACTGGTAACTAACACTGTTCCATACACATTTTGCGTAACCGCGGCATTTAAACGAGGCTGCAATGAAAACTAATAGGACTGTAGCGACTGTTTTGGCATCAAAATCCAGGGTGTAAACTACGTTTTTATTCATGCGTTGATTGACATGGTAATAGTATTTGAGAAAATATGAAAAAACGGACCCCTCTGACGCGGTAAGTTACCTTGTGACGTGTCACGACGAAATTTTGAGGGCCTTCCTCTGACACCGCCTGGTTTAGAGGTCCTGGATGGCAGGAAGCTTGGCCCCAGTGATGTACTGGGCCGTACGCACTACCCTCTGTAGTGCCTTGCGGTCGGAGGCCAAGCAGTTGCCATACCAGGCGGTGATGCAACCAGTCAGGATGCTCTCGATGGTACAGCTGTAGAATTTTTTGAGGATCTGAGGACCCATGCCAAATCTTTTCAGTCTCCTGAGGGGGAATTGGCTTTGTCGTGCCCTCTTCACGACTGTCTTGGTGTGTTTGGACCATGATAGTTCGTTGGTGATGTGGACACCAAGGAACTTGAAGCTCTCAACCTGTTCCACTACAGCCCCGTCGATGAGAATGGGGGCATGCTCAGTCCTCTTTTTTTTCCTGTAGTCCACAATCATCTCCTTTGTCTTGGTCACGTTGAGGGAGAGGTTGTTATACTGGCACCACACGGCCAGGTCTCTGACCTCCTCCCTATAGGCTGTCTCATCGTTGTCGGTGATCAGGCCTACCACTGTTGTGTCGTTGGCAAACTTAATGATGGTGTTGGAGTCGTGCCTGGCCATGCAGTCATGGGTGAACAGGGAGTACAGGAGGGGACTGAGCACACACCCCTGAGGGGCCCCCGTGTTGAGGATCAGTGTGGCAGATGTGTTGTTACCTACCCTTACCACCTGGGGGCGGCCCGTCAGGAAGTCCAGGATCCAGTTGCAGAGGGAGGTGTTTAGTCCCAGGATCCATTTAAGTGCTCTTAGGTTTTATAGTTCCCCCGTATTTCCATTTTAAGTCTACACCTTTCCAACAGTTGTCTTAGAATGCTTAAGCAAATAAAGACATTTCACAATGTTACACTGACTGTAGTTGTGGTCCATTTCATTTCTAGTTATTGCAGGAAATTAACTAAAATCATATTACATCTTAAAATCCACAATCAACCAGACAAAAATATAGTCTTCACTTCATTAATGAAATTCATTTAAATTTCACTGATTTAAAATTGCATTTATTTATACCTGCAAACAACTGCAACATCAGGCATATTAGCCCAGTCAAGATGTTTTACAAAGTTAATGCCAAGAAACTGATATGAAATAATACAGCATAAGCAAACAAATAAACGGAAGCCATTCTTCAGAGTAAATCATTGATAAAACATGACCTATTACTAAAGATTTCTAAGTGAAAATGTACCTTTGCAACCTGATATTGTAAAAGAAAAGGAAAACCTTCTCTTGCCAGTATCACTTTGTTTAAGATTATGTATCGGCCGTTTGGCCTTATCATCAAATTATCCCCAGTAACCTGCAACAAGCAAACTCAAATGTAAAGTGCTTTTCCTATTTAAAACAATGATTCTTTATGTCGTTACACAGATTTGAAAGTCAAGATGGAGTCGATCACTAAAGATATGGAAGGGAATGAAAATGGCCATGCACAAGGCACCGGTGCAGTAGCTGGAGTCTTCCTGGAGAAGACTAAGCAGAAGATAACAATATATCAGGCCATGAAGAAACGTCTACTGAAGCCTGGCACAGCGTTGGCCCTGTTGGAGGCCCAGGCTGCCACTGAGGGAATCATAGACCTTATCAATAACCGGAAACTTCCAGTAGAAGAAGCTGTCAAGGAAGGAATAATTGGACCTGAGTTGAGAGAAAAACTCCTTGTTGCAGAGAGAGCCATTGATGGTTACATAGATCCTTATACAAATGAAAAAATATCTGTATTCCAAGCCATACAAAAGGATGTTATTCCAAAAGATTATGGATCCCGGTTGCTTGAGGCACAGATATCCACAAAAGGCCTATTTGACCCTGTTGAAAAGAAATATGTTTCAGTGTACTTAGCGATTGAGAAGGGACACTATGAAAAAGGCTTACTCTCTGACCAGATTGAAGCGCTCAAAGTGTTCTATGATCCAAACTCACAAGAAAATCTCAACTACCCACATCTGATAGAGAAATGCATGGTGGATCCTGACACTGGCTTACTGCTGCTCCCAGTTTGCATCACCTTCAAAGGCCTGCGCAGGGGGGTTTCCTCCACTGAACTCCTGGTGTCAAACATAATTGACAAAGAGACCTATGACGACTTGCAGAAAGGCAAAACAACCACTCAGGATGTGATGCTCATGGAGACTGTGAAAGAGTACCTGGAAGGTAAAGGGGGTATCTCTGGTGTAGCTATGCTCTCATCCAATCAGATAATGAGCATCTATCAAGCCATGAAGCAAGGCATTCTTATGCCTGGAACAGCACTAGTTCTTCTTGAGGCACAGGCTGCCACTGGATTCATGATTGACCCTGTTCAAAACAAGAAATTCAGCGTGGACGAAGCTATTAAAAACAAAGTTGTGGGCCCTGACTACCATGCTAAACTGCTCTCGGCTGAGCGGGCAGTCACGGGATACAAAGACCCTTACACAAGTGAAACAATATCCCTGTTTCAGGCACTGTCAAAGGACCTAATCGTGAAGGAGCATGGGATTCGCTTACTGGAAGCTCAAATCGCCACAGGAGGAATAATTGATCCCATCAACAGTCACAGACTTCCCGTGGACGTAGCCTACAAGCGAGGTTTCTTTGATGAAGCCATGAATACAATACTTGCAGACTCAGGAGACGACACCAAAGGATTCTTTGATCCAAACACAAAGGAAAATTTGACGTACCTTCAGCTGATGGAACGATGTGTCATCGACCCAGCCACTGGACTCTGCCTGCTTCCTCTTATGGAACAGTCAGGTGGTCAGAATCATAATTTCATCGACTATCAAACCAAACTTAACTTAAAAGAAGTGAGAGTGAGGGTGACTTGTGGGAAGTACATGGGAATGATTGTATCCCTTTGGGAATTGGTGATGTCAGAGTACTTCAACGAACATCAGAGGCAAGACATCATTCGGCAATACACGCAGGGACACCTTCCAATGAAGATGATCATCAGAAAAATTATGGAGGTTATAGAGCAATCAGTGAAAACAACCAACGTTGTCTTCGAAGGAATCCGGGAGACTGTCACAGCAAAGCAGCTGGTAGAGGCAGATATCATTAGCGAGAATGTCCTGGAGGAACTCAACAAGGGGAAGAAGACCGTGAAGGAGGTCACAGAGGATGAAACTGTTAAAATGTACTTACAAGGGAAAGACAGCATTGCAGGTGTTTTGCTTCCTGATTCTCAGATCATGACAATCTACCAGGCCAGACGAAAGGGAAAGCTGATGCCAGGAACTGCACTGATTTTACTGGAAGCTCAAGCAGCAACAGGCTTCATCATTGACCCTATTGCCAATAGAAAGTTTTCAGTGGATGAGGCAGTGAAGGCAAACATAGTGGGGCCTGACCTTCATGGAAAGCTGCGTTCAGCAGAGAAAGCAGTGACTGGTTACAAAGATCCATACACTGGCAAAACCATCTCTCTGTTCCAAGCCATGCAGAAAGACCTCATCTTACAAGACCACGGAATTCGTCTGCTGGAGGCACAGATTGCCACTGGAGGAATCATTGACCCTCTTAACAGCCATCGTATTCCTGTCCATGTAGCCTACAAGAGGGGATATTTCAATGAGGAAATGAATCAGATTCTTGATGATCCAAGTGATGACACAAAGGGCTTCTTTGACCCCAACACTCATGAAAACCTCACATACCTGAAGCTCATGGCCAGGTGTGTCACTGATCCAAGCACAGGCCTTTGTCTTCTGCCCCTCAAAGGCAAAAGCAACAGAGTCAACATACAAGATCACATAAAGGAGACTTTCCAAGCTACAAATGTCACTGTTAAGTATGGCAGGTTCAGCTGCAAGCATGTAACACTCTGGGATCTCATCAACTCTGAATATCTGTGTGAGGACAAAAGGCAGGAGTTATTAAAACTGTACAAGTCAAAGATGATCACAATCAAGGAAATCATTGTAATTATCCTGGAAATCATTGAAAGCAAGGAGATAAAGTGGCAAGCTGGTCTGAACTTTGAGGGTCTGAGGGGGAATGTTTCTGTTGTGGACCTTTTGAGGTTGGAAATTGTGGACGAAAAGACATACAAAAGTCTGATTGAAGGGAAACTGACCAACAAGGATATAATGAAGATAGACACTGTTAGAACCTATCTGAGAGGAAACAGCTGTGTAGCCGGGGTGATACTCCAACCCTCCAGTCAAAAACTGAGCATCTATGAGGCCAAGAAAAAGGGCGTCCTGACTCCTGGTACTGCGCTCTCTCTTCTGGAAGCACAAGCTGCCACAGGCTTTATCATTGACCCTCTTCATAACCAGAAACTGACTGTGGACCAGGCTCTGAAAGAGAAGGTAATTGGCCCAGAACTGTTCGAAAAGCTCTTATCAGCAGAGAAGGCAGTAACTGGCTACACAGACCCCTACACTGATAAAAAAATCTCACTCTTCCAAGCCATGAAAAAAGATCTGATCCTACAGCAGCATGGCATTCGTTTACTTGAAGCCCAGATTGCAACAGGTGGCATCATTGACCCATTGAAGTGTCTTCATTTGCCCCTTGAAGTTGCTTACAGAGAGGGATACTTTGATGCGGAGCTTAATCAAATCCTGACAGATCCCAGTGATGACACCAAGGGATTTTTTGACCCAAGGACACAAGCAAACTTGACCTACATGGAAATGATGGAGCAGTGCATAAAGGACCCAGAGACGGGTCTGCTTCTTCTGCCACTGATGGACAAAACTAAAACACAGGATAAAACTGAGAAAATGTACTCAGACGCTGAGATAAAGCAGGAGTTTGAAAAGACAACTGTTAGCATTTCAGTAGGGCGTTATTCAGGAAAGACAGTCTCTCTTTGGTATTTGATTCACTCTGGATACTTTACTGATGATCAGAGACTCCAGTTCCTTGATAAATACAGAACAAAGAAGGTAACCATACAAGTAATAATCACTTTGGTCATTTCCACCATTACAAAACTGGAGAAGAATGAAACTCTGAAAACAACAATAGGTTTGAGAAAGCCAGTCTCTGCAAAACAACTATTGAAATCAAGCATAATTGATGCCAGTACCTTCAAGAGTTTGGAGGAAGGAAATGTAACTCTTGAACAAGTGACCCAACTGGAATCTGTGAAGCAATATCTAAGGGGTACAGGAAGTATTGCTGGAGTCCGGATTCTTCCATCCAAAAAAGTAATGAGCATTTATGAGGCAAGGACGCAAGGTCTGCTAACACCTGGTACTGCACTGATACTGCTTGAGGCTCAGGCTGCAACAGGGTTTGTCATCGATCCAATCAAGAACAAATATCTATCTGTTGATGAGGCCGCAAGAGAACAACTAATTGGACTAGAAATACATGAAAAACTACTCTCAGCTGAACGAGCAGTCACTGGATATGTAGATCCATACACAGATGCCACAATATCTTTATTTGAAGCCATGAAAAAAGATCTGATCGAGAAAGGCCATGGGATACATCTGCTGGAAGCACAAATTGCAACAGGGGGAATAATTGACCCAGTCAACAGCTACAGGATACCTGCTCATGTCGCCATGAAAAAAGGCTACCTTGATGAAGAAACAAGTGAAGCAATGTCTAATCCAAATGATGACACGAAAGGATTCTTAGACCCCATAACCAAGGAAAACCTAACATACCTTCAGCTAAGAGAGAGGTGTGAAAAGGATTCTCAGACAGGACTTTTACTCCTACCAATACATGAAGAAAGGGGATATGACTTTCACACCGATGAACAAACAGAACAGGAATTCAAAGACAAAACTGTGGTCATCAATGCAGGTAAATTTGAAGACAAAGAAGTGTCACTGTGGGATGTGTTAATCTCTGAATACATTCCAAAACTAAAGAGAGAGCAGCTCTTGAAACAATACAAGACAAGATCATCGACAATGAAAGAGATAATAGAAATAGTCATCATAATAATACAGGAAGTGACATCAAAACAAATCAAGTTCAAAGGACTGAGGAAGCAGGTTTCAGCAAGTGAGCTTTATGAGTCAAAAATAATCTCAAAGGAACTGTTTACTCAGATTATCCATGGAGAAGTTACTGAAGAGACTGTTGGCAAATTGGAATGTATTCAAAAGTACCTTGGGGCAACAAATTGCATTGCAGGAGTAAGAATTGAATCCACCAAAAAGATCATGAGCATCTATGAGGCCAAAACCAAAGGTTTTCTGACTCCTGGAACCTCTCTGGTTCTGCTGGAGGCTCAGGCTGCCACTGGATTTGTCATTGACCCAGTGAAGAACAAGAAGCTCTCTGTAGAAGAGTCAGCCGCTCAAGGTTTAGTTGGGAATGAGTGGAAGAACAAACTGCTTTCAGCAGAGAGGGCAGTCACTGGATACAAAGATCCCTACACAGGAAACACTATTTCCTTGTTCCAGGCCTTGAAAAAGGATCTAATTGTCAAGGACCATGGAATTCGCCTTCTTGAGGCACAGATTGCAACTGGTGGAATCATCGATCCAGTGTACAGTCATAGAGTGCCAGTAGAGGTGGCGTACCAGAGAGGATACTTTGATGAGGAAATGAACCAGATCCTCGATGACCCTGACGATGACACCAAGGGCTTTTTTGACCCCAACACACAAGAGAACCTCACCTACCTGCAGCTTGTGGAGAGGTGTGTGAGAGACCCAGATACTGGCCTTAGCTTACTGTCCCTGAATAAATGAGCTGATAATGATTTTTTCCAGAATCCTACAATTGTCTTGTAAAATGTGCAGATATAATTCAAAAGTATTTTCATATAATTTTACATTACATTTTATTAAATGTAATTCCTTTCATTGTTGATGGTACCCAATTATTCTGAATTGAATATATTAAAAGCGATTTCGGAAGTGAATTTTGTTATTGTGAAGTAATCCACAATTATACTTTATCTGAGATATTGTGTACATGCAATAAATGCCAATGCTAATGTTAGCAAAAAGGTAAAAAACAGTTATGTTTATTGATATCAATGTGGCACACATAAGATTACATTTTGCTTGACTCTGTGCCCTTAAACAGGAATGATGAGAATGGTAAAGTAAAGATAAGAGAAGTCGAGTGTGCATAAAATGTTTAATAAATTAATGAGATTCATAATCACAATTTAATCTGACCTGATTCCAGCAGATTTATCCTCTTGTCTGTCAGACCTCTGTCTTTTTTCTTGAAAAGAGACAAACCCATAAGCAAAGAAAAGTCATCCACTGAAGTAGCAATATACTTACCCCGCCTAAAAACATACTGGTATATTCATTTCCAGAGTGAGTCTATGCCTCCCTCTTGTGGATAACTTGGCACTACTAGAACTATGAGAAACACTTGTGATACATTCACATACACGATTATGATTATATACATTCTTTGAGTTTTTTACAGATTAGCCCAAATTTTACAGATTAGCCCAAATTTTCATCACTAATCTGCATCACCACATAGTTCATTCAGATCACAAATAAGTACACAAGGTTATTAACATTTTCTTAATAGTAATACGGAATATGAGATGTATTTAGCAAGGTATATGGAATCCCATTTTATTCAACATCATCAGTTTAGAGCATTCAAGTCATATAAAGACGTATAAAATCATAAATACAGTTTCAAAAAGATGTCAAAGAAAGACCCCAATTGTGGTTTGAGTGGTCATGGTAGAAAATAAAAAACACTTATTCACTAGTATCCATGTTTTAAAGAAGCTAGGCATATTCACTTGTACTATAAAGTTATGCATTTAAACAGTTTTTTCATATTGGTTTGAATACAATGTCCTTTGGCAGGCATTCTTAGAACAAATGACTGGACCAATAGATGACTCTAATTTGTTACACAGCTATTGGATTTCTTCTTGGGAGGTAACGGCAAGACGACAGTTTAAGTAATTGAGTGCTGTAGACGGGCCTATAACTAACTTGCAAAACAAAGAAAATACAAAATGTTATGTTCAGGTAAATCACATTGCATGTGCTGCAGTGATGTACTGGTAAAGAAATTTAGGTGGGTAAACGCTGATTGCTCTTCGCGGTGAGTAAAGTAATGCTCCCTATACATGGTTTCAATGCATTTTTCCACAAAAGGTGGGTGAACGCTCGCACAAAATAAAAAAGGTGCGTACACAGCGTTTACACTCCACTACACCACTGATGTACTACCCCTACTTCTGGCATTTTCTATCTAGGTAGACAAATTCAAACACTTTTCCAAGGGTTTTATTTCACAAAAGCTTGCATTTGTTCTGATAATAATCCTTATGAGAAATGTATTGCGCAAATAATAGAAAAACAAAGTAAAAGTTAACTAAACAAAGAGTAATGTATTACATGTATTGGCTATTGCATTTCATTGTGAGTTTTATGTTGAAATGAAGACAAATGTGTTGCCTACTGGAGGGCAGGTGTCGTGACCTTGGTCCCACTAAGATTGAGCATACGCAGGTGGTCTGCTTCGGTTCCCTGACCTAGATAGCCCATGGCAATCTCCATGTCATCTTCAGAGAAGAGTTGGTTGGGAAGGTCTAGCTCCTGCAAGGTCCCACTCCATTTCTGGTTCAGTAGGTGAATTCCCTTCTTGGACAATGAAACTGTGACATTGCTGCTGAAGTACAGTCCCAGTACAGACACTTAAGCGCTAATAAAAAAAGACAGCAGAGAGTATAGCAGCATATGAGTTTACAGCGTAGACGTGAATCAATGTAATCATTGATAACTAACTAAGAGGGTAGCAACAGACTTGGCCAAATCGTGCATTTTATTGTTTGTGCAAAGGCCATAGCATCAACAATGGATGGGTATGTATGGATATACTGTACCTTCACATGGTAGAGCAGAGAGCCCGGCTGCTGTGATCCTGGAACAACCTCTCAGGTCCAGCACACACAGTTTAGGGGAATCGTAGACAATCTTTGTCAAGTCTTGGTCAGTCATGAAGGAAACAGCTGTGGTGTCCATACACACCTCCTCCAGTAAAGGGAAGCCAGATGTGGAACTCGACCCGTTACGAGCCATTTTAGGCATAGTAATGACATTCAGCATCCGGAAAGTCTGAACCACAAGAGAAAATAAATCAAGATCTGCAATGTGTTTGTTCCCTCACACAACAAATAGGATGCATGTTTAGGAATATTTATATTCTGTACAAGCTTCCTTCTTTTCACTCTGTCATTTAGGTTAGTATTGTGGAGTAACTACATTGTTGATCCATACTCAGTTTTTTCCTTTCACAGCCATTAAACTCTGTAACTGTTTTAAAGTTAAAGGGGCGGCAGGTAGCTTAGTGGTTAAGAGCGTTGTGCCAGTAACCGAAAGGTCGCTGGTTCTAATCCCAGAGCCGACTAGGTGAAAAATCTGTCGATGTGCCCTTGAACAAGGCACTTAACCCTAATTGCTCCTGTAAGTCGCTCTGGATAAGAGCGTCTGCTAAATGACATGAAATAAAAAATAAATAAAAAAATAAATAAAAAGTCACCATTGGCCTCATGGTGAAATCCATGAGCGGTTTCCTTCCTCTCCGGCAACGGAGTAAGGAAGGACGCCTGTATCTTTGTAGTGACTGGGTGTATTGATACACCATTCAAAGTGTAATTAATAACTTCACCATGCTCAAAGGGATATTCAACGTCTGCTTCTTAATTTTTACCCATCTACCAATAGGTGCCCTTCATCGCGAAACATTGGAAAACCTCCCTGGTCTTTGTGGTTGAATCGGTGTTTGATATTCACTGCTTGACTGAGGGACCTTACAGATAATTGTATGCGTGGGGTACAGAAATTAGGTATTCATAAAAAAATCTTTATAAACACTATTATTGCACACAGAGTGAGTCAAGACAACTTATAATGTGACTTTTTAATATAATGTGACTTGTTAAGAGAGGTTGAAGCGCCTCTTCAACCTCAGGAGGCTGAAAATATTCGGTTTGGCCCCTAAGACCCTCACAAACTTTTACAGACCATTGAGAGCCTCCTGTCGGGCAACTGCAACACTAGCAACCGCAGGGCTCTCCAGAGGGTGGTGCGGTCTGCCCAACGCATCACCAGGGACATACTGCCTGCCCTCCAGGACACCAACAGCACCTGATGTCACAGGAAAGCCAAAAGGATCATTAAGGACATCACCCACCCGAGCCACGGCCTGTTCACCCTGCTATCATCCAGAAGGCCAGGTCAGTACAGGTGCATCACAGCTGGGACCGAGAGACTGAAAAACAGCTTCTATCTCAAGGCCATCAGACTGTTAAATAGACATCAATAGCCGGCCTCCACCCATTACCCTGCCCTGAACATAGTCACTGTCACTAGCCGGCTACCACCCGGTTACTCAACCCTGCACCTTAGAGGCTGCTGCCCTATGTAAATAGACATGTAATCACTGGTCACTTTAATAATGGAACACTGGTCACCTTAATAATGTTTACGTACTGTTTTACTAATTTCATATGTATGCAGTGCATTCGGAAAGTATTCAGACCCCTTGACTTTTTCCACATTTTGTTACGTTACAGCCTTATTCTAAAATGGATTAAATTGTTTTTTTCCACCTCATCAATCTACACAAAATACCCCATAATGACAAAGCCAAAACAGGTTTTTAGACATTTTTGCAAATGTATTAAAAATAAAACTGAAATATCACATTTACATAAGTATTCAGACCCTTTACTCAGTACTTTGTTGAAGCACCTTTGGTAGCGATTACAGCCTCGAGTCTTCTTGGGTAAGACCCTACAAACTTGGCACACCTGTATTTGGGGAGTTTCTCCCATTCCTCTCTGCAGTTCCTCTCAAGCTCTGTCAGGTTGGATGGGGAGCGTTGCTGCACAGCTATTTTCAGGTCTCTCCAGAGATATTCGATCGGGTTCAAGTCCAGGCTCTGGCTGTGCCACTCCTGCGTTGTCTTGGCTGTGTGCTTAGTGTCGTTGTCCTGTTGGAAGTGAACCTTTGCCCCAATCTGAGGTCGTGAGCGCACTGAAGCAGGTTTACATCAAGGATCTCTCTGTACTTTGCTCCGTTCATCTCTCCCTCGATCCTGACTAGTCTCCCAGCCCCTGCCGCTGACAAACATCCCCACAGCATGATGCTGCCACCACGCTTCACCATAGGGATGGTGCCAGGTTTCCTCCAGAAGGACGCTTGGCATTCAGGCCAAAGAGTTCAATCTTGGTTTCATCAGACCAGACAATCTTGTTTCTCATGGACTGAGAGACTTTACATGCCTTTTGGCAAACTCCAAGTGGGTTGATATGTGTATTTTACTGAGGAGTGGCTTCCGTCTGGCCACTCTACCATAATGGCCTGATTGGTGGAGTGCTGCAGAGATGGTTGTCCTTCTGGAAGGTTCTCCCATCTCCACAGAGGAACGCTAGAGCTCTGTCAGAGTGACCATCGGGATCTTGGTCACCTCCCTGATCAAGGCCCTTCTCCCCCAATTGCTCAGTTTGGAGAGTCTTGGTGGTTCCAAACTTCTTCCATTTAAGAATGATGGAGGCCACTGTGGTCTTGGGGACCTTCAATGCTGCAGAAATGTTTTGGTACCCTTCCCCAGATCTGTGCCTCGACATGATCCTGTCTCAGAGCTCTACAGACAATTCCTTCGACCTCATGGCTTGGTTTTTGCTCTGACATGCACTGTCAACTGTGGGACCTCATATAGACAATCGTGTGCCTTTCCAAATCATGTCCAATCAATTGAATTTACCACAGGTGGACTCCAATCACTTTATAGATACATCTCAAGGATGATCAATGGAACCTGAGCTCAATTTCGAGTCTCTGTCACGAACGTCTACTAAGTGAGTGGACCAAGGCGCAGCGTGCGATACGAACATGACTTTATTAATTAAAGTACTCAAATACAAAACAACAAACAATGACGAATCGTGAAGTCCTCAGTTACAATGACTGATACGGAACAAAAACCCACAACACTAAGGTGAACACTGACAGTTTAAATATGGCTCCCAATCAGAGATAACGAGCCGACAGCTGACACTCGTTACCACTGATTGGGAGTCACACGACCAAACAAGGAAACACAACCAAATACAACACAACCAATACCAAACACAACCAAATGAACACACCCTGGCTCAAAATACACAGTCCCGGAGCCAGAGCGTGACAGTACCCCCCCCCTAAAGGCGCGGACTCCGACCGCGCCTACACCCCAAATAGGGGAGGGCTGGGTGGGTGTTGCTCCTCGGAGGCGGCTCCGGCTCCGGGCTTGACCACCACCCTTCTTCAATCCCCCCGTAGCGCCCCCGGTCCGATCTGACCCAGCTGGTAGGATCTGGACTGACGACGCGCACCCCTGGCTTGGCGCGTGAGGCAGGAACGGACCGGACCTGGCTGACGATACGCACCCTAGGCTTGATGCGTGGAGCCGGAACGGGCCTCACCAGGCTGACGACTCGCATCCCTGGCTTGGTGCGAGTAGCAGGAATGGGCTGGATCAGGCTGACGGCTCGCACCCTTGGCTTGGTGCGAGTAGCAGGGACGAGCTGAACCAGGCTGACGACTCGCACCCTTGGCTTGGTGCGAGTAGCAGGAACGGGCTGGACCAGGCCGACGACTCGTACCCCTGGCTTGGTGCGAGTAGCAGGAACGGGCTGGACCAGGCTGACGACTCGCACCCTTGGCTTGGTGCGAGTAGCAGGAACGGGCTGGACCAGGCCGACGACGCACACCGTAGGCTTTGTGCGTAGAGCAGGGACAGGCCGGGCTGGGCTGGCGACGCACACCGTAGGCTTTGTGCGTGGAGCAGGAACAGGCCGGGCTGGGCTGGCGACGCACACCGTAGGCTTTGTGCATAGAGCAGGGACAGGCCGGGCTGGGCTGGCGACGCACACCGTAGGCTTTGTGCGTGGAGCAGGAACAGGCCGGGCTGGGCTGGCGACGCACACCGTAGGCTTTGTGCGTGGAGCAGGAACAGGCCGGGCTGGGCTGGCGACGCACACCGTAGGCTTTGTGCGTGGAGCAGGAACAGGCCGGGTCGGGCTGGCGACGCACACCGTAGGCTTTGTGCGTGGAGCAGGGACAGGCCGGGCTGGGCTGGCGACGCACACCGTAGGCTTTGTGCGTGGAGCAGGAACAGGCCGGGCTGGGCTGGCGACGCACACCGTAGGCTTTGTGCGTGGAGCAGGGACAGGCCGGGCTGGGCTGGCGACGCACACCGTAGGCTTTGTGCGTGGAGCAGGAACAGGCCGGGCTGGGCTGGCGACGCACACCGTAGGCTTTGTGCGTGGAGCAGGAACAGGCCGGGCTGGGCTGGCGACGCACACCGTAGGCTTTGTGCGTGGAGCAGGGACAGGCCGGGTCGGGCTGGCGACGCACACCGTAGGCTTTGTGCGTGGAGCAGGGACAGGCCGGGCTGGGCTGGCGACGCACACCGTAGGCTTTGTGCGTGGAGCAGGAACAGGCCGGGCTGGGCTGGCGACGCACACCGTAGGCTTTGTGCGTGGAGCAGGAACAGGCCGGGTCGGGCTGGCGACGCACACCGTAGGCTTTGTGCGTGGAGCAGGGACAGGCCGGGCTGGGCTGGCGACGCACACCGTAGGCTTTGTGCGTGGAGCAGGAACAGGCCGGGCTGGGCTGGCGACGCACACCGTAGGCTTTGTGCGTGGAGCAGGAACAGGCTGGGCTGGGCTGGCGACGCACACCGTAGGCTTTGTGCGTGGAGCAGGAACAGGCCGGGCTGGGCTGGCGACGCACACCGTAGGCTTAGTGCGTGGAACAGGAACCGGCCGGGCTGGACTGGCGACGCACACCGTGGGCTTGTTGCGTGGAGTAGGAACAGGCCGGTCCGTACTGGGAACACACACCACTGGCCTTAACCGGGGATCAGGAACGGGCCGGACCGGACTGGTAACACACCTCAGTCTCTCACGCCGTGCCTCAACTACTTCCCTCCCTCTACTCGCCAATGGCTCCCGTAATCCGGTAGCCTTCTCTCCACGTCTCCCTGTGGCAGCCTCCTGCTGCCCAGCCGCCCAAGCCATGTGCCCCCCCCAAAAAACTTTTTGGGGTTGCCTCTCGTCCTTCCGACGATGGCCCTGCTGACGCCGTTGCTCCTCTCTCAGTCGCCTCTCCACTGTTTTACTCCATGGCCGGCGATCCATCCCATCCAGGATTTCCTCCCAAGTCCAAGACCCTTTACCATCCAAAATCTCCTCCCATGTCCAGACCCTTGGCTCCTGGACACGCTGCTTGGTCCTGGTACGGTGGGTTTTTCTGTCACGAACGTCTACTAAGTGAGTGGACCAAGGCGCAGCGTGCGATACGAACATGACTTTATTAATTAAAGTACTCAAATACAAAACAATGACGAATCGTGAAGTCCTCAGTTACAATGACTGATACGGAACAAAAACCCACAACACTAAGGTGAACACTGACAGTTTAAATATGGCTCCCAATCAGAGATAACGAGCCGACAGCTGACACTCGTTACCACTGATTGGGAGTCACACGACCAAACAAGGAAACACAACCAAATACAACACAACCAATACCAAACACAACCAAATGAACACACCCTGGCTCAAAATACACAGTCCCGGAGCCAGAGCGTGACAGTCTCATAGCAAAGGGTCTGAATACTTATGTAAATGAGGTATTTCTGTTTTTTTTATGTTAAATACATTTGCAAAAATTGATAAAAACCTGTTTTCGCTTTGTCATTATGGGGTATTGTGTGTAGATTGCTGACGATTTTTATTTATTTAATCGATTTTAGAATAAGGGTATAACGTAACAAAATGTGGAGAAAGTCAAGGGGTTTGAATACTTTCCGAAGGCACTGTAGTCAATGCCATCCTATTCAACTATTGCTGTATATATACTATTCTATCCTACGTATTCTACAGATATACTATATATTCTATCCACATACTGTCCATAATGTATATACATCCCATCACATATACATATATATTTATATTTATACTCCGGATTCTGACATTGCTCGTCCTAATATTTACATATTTCTTAATTATATTCCTTGACTTCTAGATTTGTGCGTATTGTTGTGAATTGTTAGATATTACTGCACTGTTGGAGCTAGGAACAAGCATTTCGCTACACCCTCAATAACATCTGCTAAATATGTGTATGCAACCAATAAAATTAGATTTGATTTGATTTGTTAAGCACATTTTTACTCTTGAACTTATTTAGGCATGCCATAATAAAGGGGTTGAGCCCTTATTGACTCAAGACATTTCGGCTTTACATTTTTATTAAACAAATTCCACTTTGCATGATGGGGTATTGTGTATAGGCCAGTGACACAAAATCCCAATTTAATTTATTTTAAATTCAAATTCAAAATCTCAATTTAATTTATTTAAAATTCAAATTCAAAATCTCAATTTAATTTATTTAAAATTCAGTCTGTAACACAAGAAAATGTGGAAAAAGTAAAGGGGTGTGAATACTTTCTGAAGGCACTATATCTGGCCTACTATGGTGCAGTATTTGGACCTTTGTGTGCTATAGTGTGAGTGAACCATCATTATGTCTATTGACATGCTCTTTAGCCTACCTGAGCGTACTGGACGTTAAAACTATCCAGTTACCGACAGCTGCCACTAAGGCTCTGAAAGGCCTTCTCCGTCACGCCTGTACAGTATGGCAGCTTGAGTGAGCGAGGATGAAGGCAGGACTGGGGCACAATCTGTTAATTAAACAGTGGGATGTTTCTGATAAAGAAAACCTGAAATGCAATCAGACTTCAACAGGAAATAATAACTTCTGCTAATTTCATGTTGACTTTCATTTTAGTCATTTAGCAGACGCTCTTATCCAGAGCGACTTACAGTTAGCACATACATTATTTTATCGAACCCACAACCCTGGCGTTGCAAACGCCATGCTCTACCAACTGAGCTACATCCCCTGCCGGCCATTCCCTCCCCTACCCTGGGCCAATTGTGCGCCGCCCCATGGGTCTCCCGGTCGCGGCCGGCTACGACAGAGCCTGGATTCGAACCAGGATCTCTAGTGGCACAGCTAGCACTGCGATGCAGTGCCTTAGACCACTGCGCCACTCGGGAGACTAATGGTGTGAAGTTATCAAACAATTAACAACGATAGAAAGGAAAACTATGTCAAACTATTCTTAGTCTACATTCAACATTAGTAAAGTGCATGGATCCAATAAAAATTTCGAACAGATATGAGGCAACAAACATTAGGCTAATGGTAGCAGGAAATGGCAAAACAAACACTAATGTTACATTTGTATTCTGTAGATTATAACTTATCTCTATAACATGATCAACATTATTTTTCCAGTGATTAAGAGAAGTCTCTTAGTTGGGAGAATCTTCTAAACAAAATAACAGAAAAGTACCATTGTTACTTATTTATAGAGGCATAGTTAATAGTCAGTTAATGTTCGTTTTTCAATTACTAAATTGTTTTTAGGGCCTAGAATACAATTACTCTATGGGTCGGTCTATTTCCTGGACACAAATTAAGCCCTGGACTGAAAGTGCTTTTTAGTCCATGACTTGGCTTAATCAGTGTTTGTGAAACCCCAGAACTAGCCTATCCAATCCACATGTTACTTAGTAGGTCTACATACAGAGTTTCCCAGTGTCTGAAACTATGTTATTCTGTTTAAAAATGTACTAAATAGTACTGACCTGTTCTGTGCAAGCCAGCTTACACTGTTCCTGATCTTAAATTCCGTTATAGGTAACTGAGTTTTACCAGGTTTCAACCAACAGTAATCCACGGACACACTGCTCCACAGAGCTGGACTGGCTGCAGCAGCATTCTATAGGTGGCACACCCTAGACACCCTAAAGCAGTGAACAGAGAGTAAAATACAATGTTTAAATAGTTTTATTACAAATACAATATCAGTTAGCTCTGATAGTTTCCATGTTCATTGCTTGCATTGATCAGGATTGTTTATTTAATCTAAGTTCTATGACTAGAATCTCCATTTTAAGAAAGACAGAAGCACCGATGAAATGCAACATGAGAAGGGCTACATGAAACATTGCATTAGCTGCACAGGAATGGCACCATATTGGTGAACTACCATCTTGAAAATATTAACTAACACTTCCACTGGTAGGCTCTCACCCAAGCTGTCAAAGCCCTCCTCTTGGTGGTGTTTCCGTGTAGGCTCCAGTTCATCTTTCTTGATCTGTGACTTCTTTGTGGCTTTACCCTTCGGAATAACCTTATTCTTCTTCTATGCCTGAGTGACTTTGGATTTTCCTTCAATTATTTTTCTTTTTCTTTCTTCCTTTCATGTTCGGCCGTCATATGTTATCATCAGTGCTTGATTTCGACTGAAATAGGTGCCGATACTCATTTTGGGTGCCGGTACTGTTTATATTTAGATGCAGGAACTCCACAATACTTTTGAGCTAATATTATATAAGAGGAACAGGACCTCAAGCAGTAGAAAATATGAGGTGCTGGATCTCAGCTCTGGTGAGCCAACCTGGTGTCAGAGCATTTTGTATTATTCTGTACGTAAATCTGCCCCAATCCATTGAGTATGATATGTTACATTTTGTATGATATGTTACTAATTACAAATCAAATTATATGTTACGAATTTACTAAACATACTATATCATACGAATTTGCTAAATGTACTATATGTAATGAATTTGCAAAAACGTATGATATGTTACGAATTCTAGCTAGGTGGCTAATGTTAGCTATCTTGCTAACGTTAGCTAGGCTAGAATAGGGATTAGGGTTAGGGGTTAGGCTTAAGGTTAGGGTTAAGTTTAGGAGTTAGGCTAAAGGGTTAAAGTTAGGGTCAGGGGAAGGGTTAGCTAACATGCTAAGTAGTTGCAGAGTAGATAAAAAGCAGTAAGTAGTTGAAAAGTTGCTAATTAGCTAAAATATTAAAGAGATTTGAACTTGCAACCTTTTGATTGCTAGACGTTTGCGTTATACGCCCACGCATTCCAACCTGGGCTAACCATACTACTTTCATTTTTGCCTTAAGTAACCATCTGTCTTATGTAACCATACCAAACATAACATATCATACTAATTTGAGTGTCCCGGATTTATGGTTAAATGGTTAAAAAGCAACACATTTGAAGTTTTGGAATGGCCTAGTCAAAATCCAGACCTAATTCCAATTGAGATGTTGTGGCAGGACTTGAAATGAGCAGTTCATGCTTGAAAACCCACAAATGTCACTGAGTTAAAGTAGTTCTGCATGCAACAGTGGGCCAAAATTCCTCCACACCGATGTGAGAGACTGATCAACAGTGACAGGAAGCATTTTGTTGCAGTCATTGCAGCTAAAGGTGGCACAACCAGTTATTGAGTGTAAAGGGGCAATTACTTTTTCACACAGGGGAATTGGGTGTTGCATAACTTTGTTAATAAAAAAAAAAAGTGAACTCAAGTTCTCTTTATCTAATATTAGGTTTTGGTTGAAGATCAAAAATATGCAAAAATTGAGAAAATCAGAAAGGGAGCAAATACTTTTTCACAGCACTGTAACTTCATTGCACAGGCCTAGCGGTCATACACACATAATAGGACCATTATTCTGTATTGTAAATTTATGTGGAATTGTATGATTTTTCTTGTCGTTTTAACTGAAAACTGCTAAAACAAATGGCCATTTAAACATTAAGCAAAATTGTCCATTTGTCACATCCCTAATATCAACTATATTTTGTCTCCAAAGTTTATTGAAAACATACATAAAGTTGCACAATGAGCACTTGTCTCTGAAATACATTGTTACAGTTGTTGTTGCTCTCCTCGTCTGACCATGTGTTCTCGCATACCCCGAGAGCATCTGGTCAGCGGGGTGGTGGCACAGGAATCCTCATCTCTCCCAAGTGGACATTCTCTCTTTTTCCCCTGACCCATCTGTCTATCTCCTCATTTGAATTCCATGCTGTCACAGTCACTAGCCCAGGGTTCTTCAATTCTGGTCCTGGAGGGCCGAAACACTTCTGGTTTTCATTTCTACCTGGTAGTTAATTGCACTCACCTGGTGTCCCAGGTCTGAATTAGCCCCTGATTAGAAGGAGAGGATGAAAAACAGAGGTGTTTTGCCCCTCCAGGACCGGAATTGAAGAACCCTGCACTAGTCCATTCAAGCTTAACATCCTTGTCATTTATCGCCCTCCAGGTTCCCTTGGAGAGTTCATCAATGAGCTTGACGCCTTGATAAGTTCCTTTCCTGAGGATGGCTCACCCCTCACAGTTCTGGGTGACTTCAACCTCCCTACGTCTACCTTTGACTCATTTCTCTCTGCCTCCCTCTTTCCACTCCACTCCTCTCCTCTTTTGACCTCACCCTCTCACCGTCCCCCCCTACTCACAAGGCAGGCAATACGCTTGACCTCATCTTTACTAGATGCTGTTCTTCTACTAATCTCACTGCAACTCCCCTCCATGTCTCCGACCACTACTTTGTATCATTTTCTCTCTCGCTCTCCTCCAACACTACTCACTCTGCCCCTACTCAGATGGTAATGCGCCGTCGCAACCTTCGCTCTCTCTCTCCCGCTACTCTCTCCTCTTCCATCCTATCATCTCTTCCCTCTGCTCAATCCTTCTCCCTCCAATCTCCTGATTCTGCCTCCTCAACCCTCCTCTCCTCCCTTTCTGCATCATTTGACTCTCTATGTCCCCTATCCTCCCGGCCGGCTCGGTCCTCCCCTCCTGCTCCGTGGCTTGACGACTCATTGCGAGCTCACAGAACAGGGCTCCGGGCAGCCGAGCGGAAATGGAGGAAAACTAGACTCCCTGCGAACCTGGCATCTTTTCACTCCCTCCTCTCTACATTTTCTTCATCTGTTTCTGCTGCTTAAGCCACTTTCTACCACTCTAAATTCCAAGCATCTGCCTCTAACCCTAGGAAGCTCTTTGCCACCTTCTCCTCCCTGCTGAATCCTCCTCCCCCTCCCCCCCTCCTCCCTCTCTGTGGATGACTTCGTCAACCATTTTGAAAAGAAGGTTGACGACATCCGATCCTCGTTTGTTAAGTCAAATTACACAGCTGGTCCTGCTCACACTGCCCTACCCTATGCTCTGACTTCTTTCTCCCCTCTCTCTCCAGATGAAATCTTGTGACGGCCGGCCGCCCAACAACCTGCCCGCTTGACCCTGTAATAAAACTATTTAAACATTGTATTTTCCTCTCTTCTCCAGACCATCTCCGGTGACCTTCTCCCTTACGTCACCTCACTCGTCAACTCATCCTTGACCGCTGGCTATGTCCCTTCCGTCTTCAAGAGAGCGAGAGTTGCACCCCTTCTCAAAAAACCAACACTCGATCCCTCCGATGTCAACAACTACAGACCAGTATCCCTTCTTTCTTTTCTCTCCAAAACTCTTGAGCGTGCCGTCTTTAGCCAACTCTCTTGCTATCTCTCTCAGAATGACCTTCTTGATCCAAACCACTGCTAAAGCTAACTCTCTCTCCTCTGCTCTTGTCCTTCTAGACCTGTCTGCTGCCTTTGATACTGTGAACCATCAGATCCTCCTCTCCACCCTCTCCGAGTTGGGCATCTCTGGCGCGGCTCACTCTTCGATTTCGTCCTACCTGACAGGTCTCTCCTACCAAGTGGCATGGTGAGAATCTGTCTCCGCACCACATGCTCTCACCACTGGTGTTCCCCAGGGCTCAGTTCTAGGCCCTCTCCTATTCTTGCTATACACCAAGTCACTTGGCTCTGTTATATCCTCACATGGCCTCTCCTATCATTGCTACGCAGACGACACACAACTAATCTTCTCCTTTCTCCCTTCTGATAACCAGGTGGCGAATCGCATCTCTGCATGTCTGGCAGAAATATCAGTGTGGATGATGGATCACCACCTCAAGCTGAACCTCGGCAAGACGGAGCTGCTCTTCCTCCCGGGGAAGGACTGCCCGTTCCATGATCTCGCCATCACGGTTGACAACTCCGTTGTGTCCTCCTCCCAGAGTGCGAAGAGCCTTGGCGTGACCCTGGACAACACCCTGTCGTTCTCCGCTAACATCAAGGCGGTGACCCGATCCTGTAGGTTCATGCTCTACAACATTCGGAGAGTACGACCCTGCCTTACACAGAAAGCGGCACAAGTCCTAATCCAGGCACTTGTCATCTCCCATCTGGATTACTGCAACTCGCTGTTGGCTGGGCTCCCTGCCTGTGCCATTAAACCCCTACAACTCATCCAGAATGCCGCAGCCCGTCTGGTGTTCAACCTTCCCAAGTTCTCTCACGTCACCCGATCCTCCGCACACTCCACTGGCTTCCAGTTGAAGCTCGCATCTGCTACAAGACCATGGTGCTTGCCTACGGAGCTGTGAGGGGAACGGCACCTCCGTACCTTCAGGCTCTGATCAGTCCCTACACCCAAACGAGGGCATTGCGTTCATCCACCTCTGGCCTGCTGGCCCCCCTACCTCTGCGGAAGCACAGTTCCCGCTCAGCCCAGTCAAAACTGTTCGCTGCTGTGGCACCCCAATGGTGGAACAAGCTCCCTCACGACGCCAGGACAGCGGAGTCACTCACCACCTTCCGGAGACACTTGAAACCCCACCTCTTTAAGGAATACCTGGGATAGGATAAAGTAATCCTTCTACCCCCCCTTACCCCACCCCAAAGAAAAAAAAAACATATTGTAAAGTGGTTATCCCACTGGCTATAAGGTGAATGCACCAATTTGTAAGTCGCTCTGGATAAGAGTGTCTGCTAAATGACGTAAATATAAATGTAATGTAAATGTTGCTTAGCTAGCTAGCTATTTTTTGTCATATTAGCATAGATTAGACATCAGTCAAAACACCTCAAAATATGTACAGTGGGGAGAACAAGTATTTGATACAATGAGAGAGGCCTGTAATGTTGATCATAGGTACACGTCAACTATGACAGACAAAATGAGAAAAAAAGTTCCAGAAAATCACATTGTAGGATTTTTAATGAATTTATTTGCAAATTATGGTGGAAAATAAGTATTTGGTCAATAACAAAGTTTCTCAATACTTTGTTTAAACCTTTGTTGGCAATGACACAGGTCAAACGTTTTCTGTAATTCTTCACAAGGTTTTCACACACTGTTGCTGGTATTTTGGCCCATTCCTCCATGCAGATCTCCTCTAGAGCAGTGATGTTTTGGGGCTGTCGCTGGGCAACACGGACTTTCAACTCCCTCCAAAGATTTTCTATGGGGTTGAGATCTGGAGACTGGCTAGGCCACTCCAGGACC